GCTTTGGGAATGGTCTCTAACCTATGGCACACTTGGACCCTGCATGTAGCCATGTCTTTGTTGAGCAGCCTGCTATGCTCTGCTGACCTTGGGACTTAACAATGGACTTAAGTTAATGACCTTCCGTGTGGTTTGGTAACATTAGGACTGTGCCTTTTTACTTGTCAACCTTGGGGCTTCTCAGCCTCATCAGCCAGCAGCTGTCTGAGAGAAGAAATGCCTCTAGCTCCAGTGGGCTGGGAGCAGGAGGCAGAGCTGGACCCCAAGGTTGAAGGGCCCCTAGAGTCTGGTGTTTGAAGTTGGACTTAAAGCCTCCAAATTGTAGGAATAAACTCCTGTTTGTTTAAGCCATCCCATTTGTGGTATATTCCTGTCAGAGTGGCACTAGGTAACCAGAACAATAAACTAAAGATGTGATGTGTTATCACATCCCCTTTGCTATTAAAATATGAGGTTAATCAGTTAAAACTCTTTTGTGAACTTATTGGCTCCCAGAATCAGAGATTATTTTGTCAGCATTTACAAATAGTATATATTCTGGAATTTTGTTAGCATAACAGCTCAAGCTCCCTTGTCTTAGAGATTTCTTTATCATTTGGGAAGTTCTAACTCCACATTCTTAGTGATTTCTCCTAGTTTAGATTCACTGATGCCAGGTATTAGGTGAGGGACTTTCACACTATTACTTTATTAACAGTAATGGTTCCCCATTTAGCAATTTATTTTTCCTATTTTGAGAGCTAATTGAATTCCCTAGAACATACCCACACCCCCGCACCCATGCCCACACCCACACCCACACACCAGGCAGTCTTTCCTAACCAATTTCCAAAAATAATAATCTACATGGATAACAGCTGCACATTTTCAGATGTGATGCATATAGGCCACAAAAGTGACTCATACCTATCATTTTATATCATTTTTGGAAGAGGAAAGGAATTATGTTCAGTACTTCATAAAAGTGTGGTAATATAATAATAACATTTTCTTTAATGGTGCTTAGTTTTCATATGGTTGGATAACAAATACTGTGGAACAATAACAAGTCTTTTGTCCTCTTTTCAAAAACAGTCCATTACTTGTTGCATAGGACTTTATGATCTAGATTAGAGTATCTGTGGGAATCAGTCATATGAATTAGGGATTTGGTTTATTTGATATCTTTCTTTATAATGTCACTTGGTACTCATTGCTTTCTGCCTCTGTCCCACAACTTGACTTTTAATGCAAAAACATTAAGTGTGGAGGGATCAAGTTTAGATTTTATGGAGTCAGGAATGGATACTGGCTCTTTGTGGCTCTCATTTTACATATTACATATACATGCTATTCTGGGCAAGACTTTTAAAAAGTATGTCTTATTATGATTATAAATATAATAAAGTATATGTACAAAATTATGAAACTATAGAAAAGCATAAAGATGAAAATAAAACCCATCTGAAATCTATGTATATTATTATTTTATATAATTGGGAACATACTATATGATTTCTTTTACTTCCTTTGTAAAAATAGCTAAACAAAACTTTATTCTCCAGAGTAGTTTTAAACTTTACTATTTTTACTATACAAGTAAGATCTTTGAGCATTTTTTAATGCGTATAAATCTGTTCAAAACACAACGGGATTATGCTTTACCATGTACTAATATCACCTTTTTTTCAATAATGATATATTGTAAATTCTACTCCATGTTAATAAACATAGATTCACATAATCATTGTTATGGACCATAATTGCGCTGGTGTGATGTCTCCAAAATTCATTTATTTCTTCTCAGTTGATTGGCCTAACATCATGTTTAGTGCTTTTATTCTATGCCTGTTTTGTTGCATGTGCCTTGGGTCTTAAAAGCTTGCAAGAGGCCAACCAAGGTATCCAGTTAGGCTCTATTCTCCTTGAACAACATAAGAAGGAGGAGAGTTAGGAATAGGAGGAGGAAATGAAATGTGTGGCTAATTGCCTCCATGAATAACTGCCCCCTTTGCGGTGAAACCAGAACAACTGGGTGGTGCCCAGATACCATTACCAAACATTGTGATCAAAGATTTTATAAAAGAATCATCATCAAAAGTGGAAAAATGCAGAACAGAATTTCAAATTCTCATGGAATCCAGTGTTTCTGGAGCCATGGAAGATGAATGAATCCCTGAACTATTGCTCTAATAGAATTTTTAAGCTTAAAGCCAAAAATAACCTTTGAAGCCTTCTTAAAACCAAACAATAATGTAGCTTAACTAGTAAAGAATGTCTCCCTTGAGTATTGTGCTCTTTTAAGGTCTGTCTACATAGGATCAAATTGACAAGAACAACTTGAAAGATAGATAGGAAATTTAGGGGACAGTGAATTTATGTTAATGGGGGAGGAACAAAGGAGTTCTGGTGGCATAGTGGGTGAAACATTTGGCTGGTAACCAGAAGGTCGGTGGTTCAAACCTATTAGCTACTCCAGGGAAGGAAGATGGGGCAATCTACTTCCAGAAAGATTTACAGCCTTGGAAACCCAATGGGAGTTGCTATGAGTCATAATTGACTCGATGGCAGTGAGTTTGGGTTTTGGTTTTGGGGGAGGAATGACTTAGGAAAAGAGGCTTAGAATGGATGTACAACTCAAAGAATGTGATCAGTGCCACTGAGTTGTACATGTAGATATCGTTGAATTGGTATATGTTCTGGTGTGTGTATCTCAATAGCAACAACAAAAAATTATGTATTTTTCTTTTGTTGGAAGTTAGGTTTTTTCCAAATATCTTACTTGAGAATTAATTCTGTGAGATATATCCTTATACATATGTATTTTTGATCACTTTCCTTGTTACTTCCTTATGGAAAATTCCTGTAAGTGGAATTTGTTGGTCAAACAGTCTGTGTGTGTGTGTGTGTGTGTGTGTGTGTGTATAT